TACTATTTTCTAATACACCTTCCACCCACTTTTAAAGAATTCCCTTGTATTTTAGTTGGCAATATTTGAATTTAAGGAGGTGGTTTCCTATCAAGGGGAAGTTTATCGGAGGGTATTTGGATTTGTGTAATTAGTTCTTTCAATGAATTGGATTTGGATCGAGTTTTGATCGATCCCAATCCCAATCATATTGAAAACTTCAATTCAAATTTGAACTAATTTGAAAAATACGTTCTAAATCCAATCTGATTATGCGTTCCATTTTGAAAACTCCAATTCGACTTTGATTTTTCAATTATCCAATGCATTTTAAACAATTAGAGTTAATTGAAATAACTAAATTAGAGCTTAATTTTAACCAATTGTATTTTAATTTCAACTCAATTTAATTAAGTAATCACTAAATTTCACACACACACACATGTTGGATCGAATTACAATTGGATTGAATATTGACATATTCAAATCCAAAACCATTTTACATACCCAAACTAACTAGACTTTTATCGGATTCAAATTAAAATTCGATTAGTTCATATGCCTATATATAATTATAAGATTTGTGTTATAGTCCATATAATTTTATCCAACGCTTGAAGCACCATAAGACATACATGGCAGAGCGGTTACAATGTCAAGCACCCCCCTCCGTAGGACATAAGAATTACATCCAAATTTTTTGAGGTTTGCCACTTAATTATTCAGATTTCTTGATATTTAAAATATTATATATAGATCCCCTAAAGTTTATATGCATATAACACTTAGTCCCTTGCCGTCAAATGTTCGTTAGTATATCTGTTAATAAATTATACTTAGATCCCCTAAAATTTGGAGGTATATAATATTTAGATCCTTTAAGTTTAAAATATTATACTTAGACCAAAAATATTCTAATCAAAAATAGAATATCAAATATTTTAAATTTTATAACCAAAATTCATGTTATATTGTATCATTTATTGAAATAAAATCAAAAATAAAAAGTCAAATTTTTGTTAAAAAATCGTAATTAGTATACAATTATACTATCTATTGGAATAAAACAAAAAAAATCAAACAAGAGATCTAAATCATTCATATTAGAACATGGATTTTACAACTAAAATTCGTGTTCGATTGCAATAAAATCAAAAATAAAACTCTAATTTTTTCTTTAAAAATCATAATTAGTATACAATTATACTATCTATTAGAATAAAGTTAAAAAAATCAAATAGGGAGTCAAACTGTAATGGACACAATATATTCTAACTTTAATTAGGATAATTTGGTCATTTAAATTACCAATTAAATTTTAATAGATAGTATAATTGTATACTAATTATGATTTTTTAAGAAAAATTAAATTTTTATTTTTAATTTTATTTCAATAAATGTTATAATAGGACATGAATTTTGGTTGTCAAATTTAAAATATTTAATATTCTATATTTAATTGGAGCATTTTTAGTTTACGTATAACATTTTTAATTTGAGGGAACTAACTATTACACGTTACAAATTTAAAGGGTCTGAATATAATTTATTAACGAATATACTAACGAACAATAACAATAGAGGTCTTAGTGTTACATTTGCACAAACTTCAAGGGGTCCTTTTGTAATATTTTAAATGTTAATAAATTTGAATGATTAATTGACAAATTTTAAGACGACCGAGTGTAATTCTCCCAAAATTATATAAACTTATGAACATATCTCATATCATATTGTCACCAAGGCTATAGGCTTTCTATTTATAATAATATCAAAAGATACATAGTTTCCAAATTTTCTAATGATTAGACTTTTAGTTGGTTGATGCTCTCTCAGCCGACATCTACAGCCGACAATTAAGCCATGATACATGCAAGAAATATCACGACAACACAAATTTAGATACACATTTGTGTCATCAATCAAACACAATTTTAAAATCCATGCAGTAGTTTTGTTTCAGCCCTAATATTTTATGCCCGAAAGCAACCCTACTTCCATGGAAGTCGTGGGGAGCAATCATTGAAGGAAAATATTAAATACACCTTAACCATTTCCGTTTGTCAAGAAAAGAGAAATTATACTTTGACGGGCTCAATTATATATCATTTGTTAAGTTGCTTCCTCAATTATTATGTGTTCGCATTATACCGCAAACTATAGTTATAAGTCTCACATTGCCCCCCCTCCCTAAAATAATAACATCTCTCCAATTGTTTCTAAGGGTGTTCAAATTTTTGATTGGTCGCAATTTCTTATTTTATCCGACCCTACTCTACCCTACTGAACGGCCAGTCGTAAAAATCGGGTAGCAATGAAGAAGAGGTTTTAGTCTTCCGATTAAATCGGGTGAAAATGCAGAATACCCATCAATTTTCGCATTCCCTACTCTACCCTACCAGAAAAAAATATATTTAATTTTTTTATATTTTTTTTAGTAATTATAAGAGTATTTGTGTGGTATAATTTATATTATAACATTGTTATTGTTGTGGATGTTTGAGTTGCTAAAACATAGACTTATTTTTTTGTGTAGGTTACCTAATTTGTGGTAAACTGGTGATCTTTTAAAGTAGTTATAATTTTAATGTGTTTCATATTGTTTAAATTTAAAATATTTGTTATTGTATTTGTGTAACAATTATGATGGATTGATTTTCATACTTTCTTGTGTTTTACTGTAATTGTTGTTATAGTTGTTTTAGATTTTATTGTTATTGATTTATTGTGTTGTTAAATTAGTGTATGTTATTTAATTAAATTGTTAAAATGATCTACAAATTAATAGTTACAAAAGTGTTTACCCGACTTTCTACCCAATTAATCGAGTAGAAAGTTAGGTAAGAATACCACACCTGATTGGGTAGGGTAGGCTAAGAAAAATTCCTTCCGCAAAGTATCGAGTAGGAAGACAAAAGATTATATTTCTTACCCGTAGGGTATGATGAACACCCCTAATTGCTCCTCCAATTATGTTTGTTAACGATGATGCACAAACTGGTTTTGTGCAAGATCAATAGTTGAGTATATGTAAAAGTGCAATTAATGAGAAATAAATAGATAATCAATAATAAAAATGGTAAATATAAAGCAGACACACCGATATATAGTGGTTCGATCTAGGTGACCTACTCCACTCTCGAGAAACGACAGCAGTGCTCGGAGGTGTTTTTTTGATGAATAAAGTAATCGAAAGAATATACTCCTGGAGTATTATAGTGTTTTAGAAGAGAAACTAGGGAGGAGTAGAGAGGACAAAAAGTAGAGGTCTCAAGGTCATGCCCCTCCATGTGGAGAGGGTTTACATTATATAGGTTTGGTGAGGTGATGAGGTGGTGATGTGAGAGAGANTCGGGTGAAAATGCAGAATACCCATCAATTTTCGCATTCCCTACTCTACCCTACCAGAAAAAAATATATTTAATTTTTTTATATTTTTTTTAGTAATTATAAGAGTATTTGTGTGGTATAATTTATATTATAACATTGTTATTGTTGTGGATGTTTGAGTTGCTAAAACATAGACTTATTTTTTTGTGTAGGTTACCTAATTTGTGGTAAACTGGTGATCTTTTAAAGTAGTTATAATTTTAATGTGTTTCATATTGTTTAAATTTAAAATATTTGTTATTGTATTTGTGTAACAATTATGATGGATTGATTTTCATACTTTCTTGTGTTTTACTGTAATTGTTGTTATAGTTGTTTTAGATTTTATTGTTATTGATTTATTGTGTTGTTAAATTAGTGTATGTTATTTAATTAAATTGTTAAAATGATCTACAAATTAATAGTTACAAAAGTGTTTACCCGACTTTCTACCCAATTAATCGAGTAGAAAGTTAGGTAAGAATACCACACCTGATTGGGTAGGGTAGGCTAAGAAAAATTCCTTCCGCAAAGTATCGAGTAGGAAGACAAAAGATTATATTTCTTACCCGTAGGGTATGATGAACACCCCTAATTGCTCCTCCAATTATGTTTGTTAACGATGATGCACAAACTGGTTTTGTGCAAGATCAATAGTTGAGTATATGTAAAAGTGCAATTAATGAGAAATAAATAGATAATCAATAATAAAAATGGTAAATATAAAGCAGACACACCGATATATAGTGGTTCGATCTAGGTGACCTACTCCACTCTCGAGAAACGACAGCAGTGCTCGGAGGTGTTTTTTTGATGAATAAAGTAATCGAAAGAATATACTCCTGGAGTATTATAGTGTTTTAGAAGAGAAACTAGGGAGGAGTAGAGAGGACAAAAAGTAGAGGTCTCAAGGTCATGCCCCTCCATGTGGAGAGGGTTTACATTATATAGGTTTGGTGAGGTGATGAGGTGGTGATGTGAGAGAGAGGGCTCTACTTTTTTGGTAAGTACAATTAAGATATGATTGAATTTCCATTAGTGCGTATTCCGATAGTTTCTCTCATGTGCTCCTATCTCTCCGAGATTCTTGGATCCTGAATTGGGTCGGACTGACAAAGTATGTCTGGCCCGTTCTTTAGCTGACTTGGGCTTAGTTAATTTATTGGGCTTAACCTAGTTAATTTTGGACCCATCAATTAACTTCATATTCTTCTAATTTTAGAGATTAACAATAGAGTAATGCTATGCTGATCAAATTTTAGGACCAAATTTTGAGCCCAAATGACATGGCAGCATAGCATTTGAAGTTTTTATTGGGGCCCAAATGACACGACACCAAATAAAGAAGCCCAAGTCAACTTCTATGTCATTTGAACTCTAAATTTTGTCCCAATATTTGATCAGTGTAGTACTACCGTTAACGATATATGTTTTATTATAGAAGTGGACATTTTAGAGAGAGTCAAAGTATAATTTATCCTCTAAAAAATCTCATTCAAATCCCGCTCAGCCGTCCATGAAAATGCCTTGTTCTTCAAAGCTTTAAACATGCTATCCATGGCTCCTCTACATGTGGTAACGAAAGCTTCTTCCCTTGGAATGACATTTCAACTCTTCTTTTGTACAGTTAAATCCTTATAAGTTAAGCAAAAATGACGTACGAGACGATGCTTGCTAGAAGTTTTGGCCGGCAAGAACATAAAAAGTTGGGATTTGGAGCGTTTATTGGTTGCTTGGTCATTGGATTTAGCCTTTGCACTGTGTTTAAGCCTTACCTCATTCCTCTTCCAGTTTGTAAGTCCTTTCTTTTATTTGGTTTCATGCAATAAACCATTTATTTAACTTCAACCAATATTTCAAGCAATTCTGCATTGTTGTTGCCATGTCGAGTGTGTCTTGCATTTTTAGGTCCTTGCACAAATGTTTCAATATGCTTGCTATATTTGGATGAAGTAATGTTGGCTTTTATGGGTTGGATCAGAGTACGGTACCAAGAGGTACTAAAAAAGTATGGTATCAAGAGCCATTACAAAATAAATATGGGATTACACTACTCAATCTAGTAAGGTGCCAATAAAATAAAACAGTTTGGGAAAGATGTCACTATAGTCTCTTCATGTACCTTGATTCTGCAGTGAATTTGGGGCTTTCAATTGGCGGTGGTCTCCGACTGCAGATGCCCACAGAGAAACCAGGCAGTCCCAAGCAATTATGTGAGTCTAAAATTCGTTGATGTACACTTCATTTTGTTATCAAGAAGGGTGAATATATTATCTGAGTTAGTGACTCAAAATCTTGTTAGTTGCCTTGAACTAGTCATTTCGATGATTTTTCTTTTCTGTTTTTTTGTTTTGTTTTCCAGACTTCAAAACCAAGGAAGTAGAGCCAATTTGTAATATTTCAGAACCAAGATCAGATGTTTGCATGATGATTGGAGATATAAGAATTCAAGGAAATTCATCCACCATTTTCATTGTTTCGACTCAAAACGACAATTTGGTGGGAAACAATTCATGGACTATAAGGCCTTATTCGCGAAAAATAGATGAAAATGCAATGGCAAACGTTCAAAAATTTACACTTCTGAGAAAAGTTTCGCAAGATATCCCTCATTGCACTAGAAATCGGAGTACTGTTCCTGCCATTGTCTTGTCCACTGGAGGATATTCAGGAAACCATTTTCATGATTTTACCGATTTGCTGATTCCACTGTTTTTAACTTCTCGGGAGTTTAATGGTGAAGTACAATTTCTTATAACCAACATAAAGTTATGGTGGATTCAAAAGTATCAAGCAGTGCTTAAAAAGTTATCCAGATACGAGATTATTGACATTGATAAAGAAGAGGGAGTCCTTTGCTTCCAAAGCATGATTGTTGGTCTTAAAACCCACAAAGAGCTCAGTATTGATCCTTCAAAGGCTCCATACTCCATGAGAGACTTCAGGCATTTCTTAAGAAGCTCCTACTCACTGAAGAGAGAAACCGCAATCAAACTAAAAGATGATGCAGACAAGAAGCCCCGACTGCTTATCATTTCAAGAAAAAGATCCCGGTCCTTCATGAATGAAGGTGAAATTACTAACTTGTCTCGAAGCTTGGGCTATGAAGTGGTTGTCACGGAAGCAGAATCAAATTTATCACGATTTGCAAAATTCGTGAACTCTTGTGATGTGATGATGGGGGTGCACGGAGCTGGTCTTACTAACCTACTTTTCCTGCCCAACAATGCAGTTTTGATACAAATAGTACCATTAGGAGGAATGGTGTGGATTGCTAGAACTGACTTTGGAGAGCCAGCAAAAGAAATGGAGTTGAGGTACTTGGAATATAGGATACGTGAAGGAGAGAGCTCCTTGATACAACAATACCCTCTTGACCATGAAGTTTTTAAGGATCCCCATTCAATCAGTAAGAAGGGATGGGGTGCTTTTAGGTCTGTATATTTGGACAAACAAGATGTAAAGCTTGATATAAGTAGATTTAGAACAACTTTGGTTGAAGCCCTTACGCTGCTGCATGCGTAGAATTTATTTTCTACAGAAAATTACACCGAGATACCTTTATTGGTAATTTTTCCTTAGTTAATGTGTTAATTTTCCTTGTCCTTGGTGCGACAGTTCATTCTTAATTCAACTTATTGTTATTTGGTAAGCACATGAAAAAGTTTTAGAGTCGGTATATTAGCATGTTTAAATTTTTTTTTAATTAATCCTAGAAGTTTATAAATTCGTATTTATTGACATTATATTTAATTTTTAAAAGTTCAATAAACATAAAAGATTAAAAATCGATATGCATAACATGAGCAAGAAAAATAATAATTAAAATTTCTTATCAAGAATAAGACTAATTGTTATCACTTATAATTGACCATGTTATGTTTTTATTATTTGAAAGAGGTACAAATCAATCTTATTAATAATATAGCTTTTATATATAAAATCACGGTAACAATATTTTATTTATGATCCTAAATTTTATTATATAACGACGCACATTGTTATACAATAACAAAATAGCCCTATAATTTTAAAAAATTATAAAATAACTTCAATATATTCAAAATATATTTGAACCTATCTGAAATGTATCTAAAAATAAATAATAGTATTAGTTGCACCTAATTTGAGATTTAATTGGTAGATTTCCAATGGTTAGTGACCAATGGATAGATAGTGGAATTTACTAAATATTGAAACTCACTATTAGACATAATATCACAATGTATTAGGTTTTTAAATTAGATCTCAATAATATTATTTAAAAAGTTAACAATTATTTAGGTAAGAATTTATTCAAATCGATATTATCAGAAAACATTAGTAGGGTGGATATAATTAAATATGTTTAAATTTTATTTTAAAAAATACATGTCTAATATGAAATTTTTTTTTGAGAGGGGCGGAAAAACTGGATGATTGTACATATATGCAAGATAGTCGTATGATATGTGAGATTGATAGGAGAGGTTAATGAGACAAACATGATTGTCCCATGATTTGTGGACATGATCTGTGGGAATATAATTTAGGAAGGAAATAAACACAGTAAAAAATGAGGATTGGGGATTCCCCACTTGAATTTTAGGGCCGTAAACTGATCTCGACCCAACGATTTAATGAACATATCTGCAATTTGCTGTGAGGTGGGTCATAAGAAGTCTTTAAAAATCTTCTTTTGATTTTATCTCGTATAATATGTCAATTAATCTCGATGTATTTCGCGCACTCATGAAAAACTAGGTTGATAATAATATGCAAAGTCGCTTCATCATCACAGAGAAGTGGTATAGGTTCATCCTAATGTATTGAAAAATCATTGAGTAATGAGGTGAGCCATGACTCGATACTCAGTTTCAGCTGAGAAATATGAAATTGTATGTTATTTTTTTATTTTCCAAGAAACAGGATTATAACCAATAAAAATGTAATAGATCTATAAGTCTTAGGATAACTTGCCTATGAATCTCAATAAGCAGGTAATTGAAGAGTGACATTATTGAACAAAATAATACCTGGTCCTGGGAAACCCTTTAGATAACATAATAGGCGGTTGGTGGCATTGATGTGTTTTTTTTTTTCTTTTGGGGGAAGGGAAAGGGGAAGGAGAAGAAGAGTTGAACCCTTGACCTCAAGATAAAATCTTTATAAGATAAGGAATACTATTAGACCAAAGACCAATTGGTAGGCATCAATGTGTTGATGCATAAACTGGCTCAAAATATTGACTGTGTGAACAACATTAGGATGTGTAATAGTGAGATATATCAATCAGCCATTCAATCAACTATAAAAGCAAGATCAGATAAGAGTTCACCATCTACAGTAGTCAATTTGAGATGTTCCTTAGGGAAAGATTACGGTTTTGCTCCAGATATACTCGTATCAAGAAAATTATCCAAAGTAAATATTCGTTGACTTAAAAATAATCATTGGTTGGAGCGTGAGACCTTGATGCTGAAAAATATTTAACAGGACCAGGATCTTTTATGTGAAACCGTTGATAAAGAAAATACTCAATGTGAAAATTGCTTGTGATAACAACATTGTCCACATAACCCAAAACAAATATAGAGGAGTTAGTTTTGTGTCGAAAAAATAGAGAATAGCCGGCTTTGGATTGTAATAAAACTAGAATCAAGAAAAGCACCACAAAATTTGGCTAACCAATTCCAAGAGGCTTGTTTGAGTCAATATATGGACTAGTGTAAATGACAAATTTTTTGCTCCCCCTGAATAGGATAACCGAGTGGAAGAGTCCTCTACAGTTCTTCATGCAAGTGCCTATGTAAAAAAGCATTATAAGGACAATTTTTTGTGGCAGCAATAGTAAAGAGAATGTTGGGGAAATTAGCATAATTATACATAATTTTACTTAACAAAATAATATCTAGATCACAAACTAACAACAATATACAAATAAATATAAAATAACAATCAATATAGAATAGAATATAATAGATACTATAAATTAGAAAAGAGCTGATCTGCGAGTTTGAGAATCGTATGAACACTGTCTTAAAGCAGCTGAGCCTCCTTGCGTGAGAGTATTGACGGACACCAGCGACTCCAAGATTAAACCCAGACGCTCGCAATAGCACCTCCTCAATGGTCACACCCACTAAAAGGAAAGGGTGAACCTGACTTGAATCAAAGTTGCCCAAAGTAAACTAATGCCAAATATTTGTAGGTATGCAAATGTAATAATAAGCAAAATAAATATATAGAAAGAATAACAACACTCGTGGAAGAGGAGCATATAGAAAAAATGGTAAAACTCTTCATCTTCTATCTAAATCAGTCACCTTATTTTATAGGCACCATCTTAATTACTATTGAATAATAGACTTTAAAATAAATTAGTATGTAATTGCTAGGCTATTAAGCCTATATCAATTTTATAATTAAATGACATGGACATGCAATAATTAAATTTCAATAGTAAAGTTTAAAACTAAAAAATTAATACAAAATAATTAGTTATATAGTTTTTAAAACTTTTATTTTAATTTATTCTAACATAGAACACACAGTGCTACAAGTTTGGCAATTGGTGCAAAGGTCTCATGAAAGTTGATTCCTTCGGTTTTAGTATATACCTTGGCCACAAGTCATTCTTTGTAGCGTTCTATGGTCCCATCTAGGCTTGGAAAAAATGACACTATTAGCTGATATGATTCGATATGAAATTAGTAAGATAAAGTTTGATCTTAACGAGTTTGAATGATAAACGGGTAGACCCGTTAGACCCATCTCTTGAACGGGTTGTGTTCGGTTGAGTTATGTTAACCCACCCATTTATCCAATTAAATTAAATAGGTTTACATACTAGTTGGCCCTTGAACCTGTTCAATTTTAATTTTAAAATCCCATATATTCCTAGCACACTTGCTCCTTGTTGCCCTAGCCTTGACAAAGACTTCTCCTGCTTTCCTCCTCCATTCAATCTTCATTTCAGAATTCTCTCTCTCTCTCTCTCTCTCTCTCTTTATATATATATATATATATATATATATATATATATATATATATCTATGTGGGTGTCAAATCCTGGCGAGTGACAAAAAATCGATCAACGATCTCGAAGGTTACTTTTCTTTCTCATGTTACTCTATTCTATTCTATTTTTTTGTTTAAATAAATATGGGGAAAAGTAAAATGATAATCCTTACCCCTAAACTGAAAAATTTATTTGTAGGGTTACACGGGTTGAGTTGTGTAATTCGCCAAATAAATAGGTCTTGTTTGTTTTTACGATTTTCATCCAATTAATAAATGTTTGGTATACGGGTTAAATAATTTTTGACATCAACCCGTTAAAATTCGACACGAAACCGTTTTGTCCAACACAATTCCCGGGCCTAGCCCTATCGAAGTGATCCTTGATTTTATAGACCCATTTACATCCAATGAATTTTGTTGTTGTCAGGGAGTGGAACCACAGTCCAAGTATCATTGGCTTCCAATGCATTAATTTCTGTTTGCATAGCATCATGCCATTCGGGTGATTGAATGGCTTTTGAAAAGGTTTTGGGTTTAGTTGTAGAGGACAAAGAGAATAGAAAAACTTAGTGAGAATTAGAAAATTTATCATAAACTAAAATGTTGGAAAGGGGAAATAGTGTACCTTTCGCACCACAATAGGTGAAGGAGATTGGACCTGAGTGTTAGAACAAACATATTTTTGGAGATGTGCTAGTGTTCTAGTAGGATGCTGGAAGTGCCAAAGTGGAAGTTGTTGGACCAAATCAGTTTTTTACAAATAAAAATTGATTTTGATCGATTTTGAGCCTAAATTAAAGTGAGATCCACTTCTCATTTTGAGTAAACTTTTGTGGTTTCATGTATTATTCCGCGAGGAGAATAAAGTAGTATATTCACTTATTCAAATCGAATAAGAGATGAACGTGAAAATAGGTTCCAAAGTGAACATCTTGAATATGAAAATAGAGACTGTGACAATGTGAAATTTGACACCAACCTCACATTAGTTGGGCAAGAAATTTTACTTGAACATATATATTCCAAATTTGCTCTATGGGTTGGGTCTTAAGGGACACCACAAATTTGTGGACGGGTGAGGACCTATATGAGCTTAGGTTTGACCAAACGCGTTAGCTCTATCGCCTGGCTGAGTTGGGCTTGGGTTTGGGTGTTGGAGTGATTTAGATCTAATCTTATCTTTTTGGATAAATTTTATTGGTCGAATTAAGTCCAAAATTCTTAACTCGATTTTAATTTCTACCCCGTTGGAATTCAAAATTCACATTGGTTCGAATTTGAATTTTGCCTCCACTTCGAATTTATATTTCGTGTTTGTAAATTATTAGGCANTATATATATATATATATATATATATATATATATATATATATCTATGTGGGTGTCAAATCCTGGCGAGTGACAAAAAATCGATCAACGATCTCGAAGGTTACTTTTCTTTCTCATGTTACTCTATTCTATTCTATTTTTTTGTTTAAATAAATATGGGGAAAAGTAAAATGATAATCCTTACCCCTAAACTG